TTATTAAAATAAAATACAAATTAAATAATATGTATATTTGTTTATAATTATTCTTTCATGTCATGCTTTCAGTTAAATTTTAATCTGGGTCATTTTTTGTACACATTTTTACAAAATTGAAATAACATCAGTGTAGAGCCTGATTTTTATTAAACTGATGTCTGATTAAATTAACTGAGGATTTTGCGTATTAAACTGATTTTTCAATATAGTATTCGGTGAAAAAAGTAGTGTTTTAAGTTTAAAGCAAACCTGCAAATTCTCCGGTTTTAGGACTAAGTCTAAGGCACCGCAAGGGTGAAAGTATGTCTTAGCTCAGAACCCCATGGATAGATGGCACCACCACACATTCATGAGGCCACTTCCTAAATTTAAACACAGATCTGAAGGGGAAGGAGATTTTCTATAGGTCTCACTACCCATTGATCTGCTCAGCAACCTTCTATAGGACTTTCGATTCTACAGATTTTATGAGCAGAGATATTCCATGTACTTACGAAGACAAGAATTGAATTCTGACCGTACTGGGCTACCATGGCACAGAAATTACTTATTAGATAAAAAGAAATCTATTTGAAAAATTTTCATGCAACATTGACAGAAATAACTCAAAAAGCCATTTATCTTTTAATTTTTTAAATATTATTTTTTTTTTAAATCAATGTAAAAATTTTTCAAAATAAATATAGAAAAAAATTATGCGACAAAGAGTTTCAATTATGTGACTAAATATTCTTTCACAGGTCACATCTGTGTGAGGAATGATTAATACTGCCAGCTCTAATTTAACCACCATACTGTAGGTATTACTTTTTCTGTATTGACTTTACATCTTTTTGCATCGATTCTATCAACAACAACAAAAAGCTTCTGTACTGAAATATCTTTATAATATAAAGCACAAAACTGAGCATCTAGAATATCAAAAAGTGAACTTTGTCCTCTTTTTTTTAAAAACGTATAAAAACGATAAAATTAAAAAAAAAAATAGTGCTAGAAAAAGAAACAATTGAAACATACGTTTTGTTAATACAGTGCTTTGTATATGTTTAGTTAAAAGCATTATTTGACTTTTCTGTTTTTGGTCTATCAGGCATTTTTATGTATTACGAAGGTTCTAAAAAGGAATTAATTATAAGATAAATACACTTGGGCTAAAAAACTGCTGATATAGAAAAGTTTAAGAAAGTATGCAAACTCTGCACTTAACCTCAGATCCATACACTTCTTAAGAAAAAGGCCTGAGTTTGGACACTTAAGAGAATCTTCCTGACTTAATTCGTAGCATCTAATGGTTGGAATGCTGGGCTTGTCCAAGTATTTTTAGAAACAACAGACAGTAGTTTCTGTGATGAGATGAATCAAACAGAAGAGTAATTTCCTAAAACAAATTTTAAGCACTTAAAATTAAATATATAGTCAAATGTTACTTTACTTAAACTTTAATATTTTTTATTTCCAATCTTTGTATTGCTTTACTAAAATTAAATATTTTTTTAGTTTAGTATAGTTTTATTTGAACTATTTTTATTCTTCCTAAGCAAGGCATATAGTCTCAAAACCAGCTTAACTTGTTTACAGAAAAAGAAAATCCTTTCATCCAGGCCAGGAAGAATGAGGAACCATTATCAAAAATACTTGGTCCTATTGTTACTTAAATTTTTTTAATAGAATCAACTGGTTTTTCTCCGAATTGATTTCTAATCATAATTTGGGTGGAAAAAAATCAATATTACTTGCTACATAAAATCAATATTACTATGGACATATTGCCCCAAAAATTTTTTTTTGACAACACGTTAAATTGAAGATATCTTATGTTATAATATTTTTAAATCTATTTTTTTCGTCTGCGAAATTATGTTATCATCCATAATTTAAAACAAATGTTTCATGAAGTGTTTTTTAAATATGCAAATCTCAACGATAGTTAATCTCAGTTAATGCTAGTGCTATGATTTTTTTTCACTGTATTTGAGCAAGGAGATACATTTTTAAAGGGACAGAAAAATTAGAGAGCCAAGTGGGTGAAGTTTCTGAAATTTTAGTGTTAGGTTTTAACATTATATGTTGAGTCTAAGAGAGAAAAAATTGTTAAAAATTGTTATTAATTGTTATGTTATTGATATCATACCTTTATTTCATGTCCGCTAAATTTGCATTAACAAAATCTATATATCCCTCATACTACTTTTCACATGATAGCGTTTACACTCGTTTCATTACAATTTACTTCCAAAGGACAGGTCTTGTAAGGTTATTTTACGACTGTTTCAATATAAGTGCACGTGAGAGGCTCTTCCTCTCTGATTGTCATTATTACCTTCATCCACCTTGCCCTGTGAAATTAAATCAATGTTGTATAGGTCTCCCAGTGAACTGTTCATAAAGAACGGTTCCCAGTAGAACACTGAAGTCAAGCATCACTGGCTGCGGTCAGTAAGTGGATGGGTGACCACTTTGAACGGCCTACGTAGGGACCAATCTTTTTCCAGGGATTAGCATAAGTTGTTAACCTTAATAAAATGTTTTTCCGAATCTTATTGTCTTAGAGAACTCAAGTATTTATTTTGAACTTAGGCATGAAGTTAGGGGAGACATCATTGAAAGATTTTCAAGTTATCTAATTTAATCTTTTATGGAATAATGCCACCATGTAAGCGGCATAGCACTTTTATTTGTTGTGCTACAAAAACCATTTTTTTAAATCATATTTTTGTCATGTTCACAATTTAGTTGCATAATTATAATTGATATTATAATTTTATCCAATGGCAATTAAGCTTAAAATACTTTCGGATGATGAAGTGTTCATTTTATATAAATTTATAGGTTACACATTTGGAAGGTATGCAGAAAATGTGTTCTAAATTATATGTGTCATAAATGAAACGTAAACCTTTTATAAATTGAAAAAATATTTTAATAAAATAAACTTATTTTTGAATTTTTTTCTTCATATTTTTAGCATCAGATGTTTAGCATCAGATTTCTTCATATTTTTAGCATTCGTATAAATAATCCTTCACTTATCTATTTAACTATGTCTGACATGTTTGTAGTTATAAATACAAAGATGTACTTTTTTTTACCTAAATATTTTATTACATTTTAAGTCCCATTGTATTATTAGGCTTATTGTCTACGCTTTGATCTTATTTGAAACCGAGTTAAAAGAAAAAAGCCATTGTAAAAAATATCTTACTTTCTCAGATAATAATGTTATATGCATAAATAGGTAGAAGTCAAAATTTTTACTTTACTTACAACTTGCCATAATGTCTGAGCCACAGTGGCTCAGGGGATAAGGAATTCAGACCCCAATGAGGTCACCCAGGTTCGAATCCCAGTGGTGCTGATTAATATGAATTCTGCAACTGGCTTGCACTGACCCCAGTATTGGTGTAAAATATCCTCAAGGGTAGATGTATCATGGCTTTAAATCTTCTTGCCGTTGGGTTAACCGTGGGAGAATTTTGTGGTTTTCCTCTCCATGTAACACAAAGGCAGGTCCACCATTATTTTTCTTGTTGCAGAATGCAACAAGAAATAAAAATTTGACCATTTTGCAGTGGTCTAGTTACTAATATAGTTTCTGTTACACATAAGTTTTTTTTTTTTTTTTTAATTGTGTCTCTAGTTTTCAGCTAATTAAATGATGAAATTAGAATATCAAGCTATTTTCTCGAAGGTTTGATTTTAACATTTAAATTAATAGTTTAAATTAACATTTTAATTAGTGAATCAAAAGAGGGAGTGAGAAAAAGATATCTAATAAATTTATTGTGTTGGGGATATGGAGAATGTGACGAAATAAATTTAAAATTTGTTAACATGAGTAAATTAATTATTATTGTTTTTAAATAGCTAAAACAGACCCCATGTAAATGAAGAAATTCGCTGTATCTTTTTCCATTTTACTCTTTGAGCAATAAAGCTATATAAATTGTTCTCTGATGCACTGTGATTTAAATATAAGATCGACAAGTTCTTTTAAATTTCAGCGGTTTATTCTTTAATAATGATTGAAAAGTTTTTGAATTAGAAATAGGTATAACACATTTTGCATTTTGTTAATTTCAGTATTTTTGCGTCGAAAAATGTAAATTGGTTGAATAATTATCGAGGAATTAAAATTCGAAGCAAAACATTTATTATCATTATTAATTTTAAATTGTATTTTCTCGAAAACTATTCGACCGATTTACTTTGATTTTTGGTCAACCAAAAATCACAACAGAAACATCGTCGAAAAATAAAGTTCTTTTTTCGGTTTTAATTAGACACTTGTAACAGAATTGACCTCTAATCGAAATTTACACCACTTTTCGAGAAGAAAACAATCTTTAATTTTTTTTCTTTAAGAAAAGTAAATATTTGCCACACCTAAAATGATTAAGTTGAGAAACACGAAGCAATATACTTTTATCATCGTTTTAAAATTCCCTCACGTTTTTTGTTTTAAGTGTGACAAAAATAAAATTATTATCTTATCAGTCTTCATAAAAAATTGTTTTCATAGAAATTTTATTTTTGAACAACAGAAAAAATAAAAAATTAAAATCACAAACTATTACAAAAGTAAACATTTAGTATCGTTTGCTCTAATCAGCGTACTTTTTCTACCTTTAAACAACGTAGTTTTTTTAATGAAATAATACAAATTAAACTCTTTGGGTAATACTTCGTTTTCCAAACTTAAATTTTTTTAATACAAAACAAACAATTACAAGTTTTTTTTTTTCCACTGAAAATGTATAATTTGAACGAAAAATCGAAGATGACAGACGATATCTATTGACTACCCAGTTACGATGTACGTGACAAATTTCTTAAATAAATTCTAAGAAAAAAAGCAACCAAACAGCTAAAAATTGGAATGCGTCATCATTTTAGAGGAGGTCAACAGTGACCGCTAATCTAATTGGATGAACTGATAAATTTTATGCGGGAAAGATTTAGTGAGTAAACGGTAGACGCGACGTGATATAGTGGTTATTTTAAGTACCTATCAGTTTTCTTTGTTAGTTAAAAGGATCCGTTGCTTTTCCTTGATAAATAAACCAATAAGGATTAATTATTAAAGACGTGGTTTTGATTTAGTAAGTATAGTTTGTCTTTTAGTGCAAGATTTAGAATACTATTTTGGGCAAACTTTGAGTTATGCTCTTAAAAATTCGGGGTCAAAACTGATTTTTTTTTTCTCCATAAACCTTGTGGTCCATTGAGCAATAGAAAGAAAAGAGGGCTGCAGTGTTTTTGTAGTAATTTTTGAACTCTGCCTTCTTAAGAGGATGCCATTTCTGAAGAGGAGACAAATTAACCTCGCAAATTCTTTTTCTCCTTCGTTACTGATTTAAAATTTAAAGTGTAGAAAAGGTGAATTAAGACAAACCTAGAGTAAGCTATGAAGTTTCAAATACTGAGAATAAAATTTTGAAATATACGAATGAAAATAAAATATGAGAAGATAACTTTGGATTACGCAACGGTTTGGATTACGCAAGTTATCTTCGAATAATTTGTTTGCATTTTAATATTTTGAAGTATTTTTTTCAGCAACTGAAATTTCATGACTTATTCTATGTATGACTATAAACTTACTTTTTCTTTCTTTTAAATTAGTAATGAAGGATGAAGAGAATTCGCGACGAAAATTTTATTCCGCTGTATGGCGTCCTCTTAAGCAGTCAAACTAGTAGAATGAAAGAATAAAGAACAAGTACTCGTAGAATGTAGTTTCTGGAGGAGGAAAACAAAACTATTTAGATTGAATGGGAAAAAAAATTCATTCCATAGATACGTATTCATAAAAATTTTAATGTATATTTTAAATTCACTTTTATGCTACTTAAATTTTTAGCGCGTAAATAGAAAAGTTTGTAAATGGAATAATTTGAAAAAATTTATTTTTTCCAGCAAACTATTAAATGTAAGCAAAATATTAAAATTTTTAATGCAACTATTTAATTAATAAAAAATAATTTAAAAAATAATGCTAGTAATATAGTAACAGATTCAGAGCTTTATTTCTGTTGTTCCCTAGCACAACATACTTAGTTTGTGCCCAGCGAAGATTTTATATAAATATAATTATTATTTGATCTTTAATATGCCTAATTTGGTTAAACCGCAGATTCATTTT